TATGAGCTATGTGTTATTCTTAAAATCTGTTTTCTTTGTAAGCCCATGGTGCATTAAAGTTCTTCATTAAGGGTTCCTTAAATAAATTTAATGAAATGTCTGTGATCTCTCCCTTTTTGGGTAAGACTATGAAAGGAAGGACTGGGGCAGTTTGAGACAGCTTTCCCTGTGGAAAAGTTCCTGATGAAATGTACTTATATCTGAATGCTTGTTAAAGATACTTCTCATACATGAGGAAAATACAATTGCTATGTCAAACATCTCATAAAAAAGAATCTGTAGAGATTTAACTCCATTGCATATGTAATGTTCATTGTACATAGCCATTTTGTCATGGCTAACATTTTAGCATCAAAGCCCTCCGAAAATATGGAACAAGGGAATGAGGAGGGGTATGCACAAGGGAGTAGGATTTAATGAGAAGAAGGTGTTAAAATGAAAACTGGATAGAAAGATAACAAAAGAAGTGGGAGGAAAATGGAGATCTGAACAAAAGGAAGAGAAGGATATAAAAATTGCTTAATGGATACAACTGCAGACAATTTCGTTAGTAGCTGTAATTTAGGAATGGATACTGTGGTTTTCAAAAATGAAATGCCAAGCGTTTAGATTCCCAGATCCTTTCCTCCAAAGAATATGCCAGTTTCAAAGAGAATAAACTAAAATATTTGATTACAAAGTATAAAAAATGTATACTCTCTTAGATAGCATTTGTTTTCTAAAATACACTGGTAACAAATAACTGTTGTCTGGCTAAGTTAAAAGAAACATTTTGGGATCAGAGAGCTCACACATAGGGCCTAATCCAAAGCCCAGTGCCATCAATGGAAGTGACCCAATGCAGATTTTGGATCAAGCACATCAGGAGAAGTATTTATTAGCAGTGTAAAGTATTTTTTTTTAAATCAACTTTTAAATAATCCACAACACGTTTTGAAAAATATAAGGGATGGTGAACCAGAGATATGTCTACACAACACACTAACCTGCGTCTGTGGGACCTGGGCTTGCGGACTCATGTTTCCAAGCCCACGCTTGAGCATCCACACTGCAATAGAAACTCAGGCCTCACAACTGTGAATGCATGTCCATAGTGCACCATGCAGACCCAATTCAGAACTTCAGCTTCTGTGGTGGTGTACTATTGTACTCCAGGATTCCTATCACCCCTGGCATCTGAAACCGCTCTGATGCTTTCTCCATAGTGGATTATGGGAGAACATGGTTTGTCTGTCCGTCCTGCAGGAGTTGACTGGAAGAATTTTGGGTTGTTTTAGCTCATGAACACATCTAGCTGAGCCATTTTATTCCTCACACTCCCTGCAGCCAGAGCCAACAGGGATCCTGCCCTGGTGGAAGAATTTCTCTACCGCATTCTGTCAGTCCTGTTTCGGGCACAGGCAGAACATCTGCAAGACACTGGTGGACATTTCAGCAGCAGTTTTTGACTTGCTGAACGCACCTCTCAGTGGGGCATACTAACATGCCAGCTGCAAAACAGCTGATGCTGCTCATGCCTGTTGCCCTAGCTGCAGATTGCCCCTATATAGACCAGGGCTTCTGGAGTGGGGCCACAAGCACAGACTTGTGGGGATCACACTGTCATGCGCACCTGAGATGACCAGCAGGGGGTCCAGAACTTTCACATGAAGAAGCAGACATTTTTGGAGTTTGGGGATCAGCTCGCCCCTGTCCTCCAGCTCCAGGACACCCACATGAGGGAAATCATGCCAGGCCAGAAGTGAGTTGCTATAGCCATCTGGAAGCTGGCTATCCCAAACTTCTACAGGTCTGTGTCTAACCAGTTTGGAGTTGGCAAATCAACTGTGTGGGATGTTGTGGCAGAGGTTTGTGAGGTGATCAGAACTGTGATTTACCTGAAGATGGTGGGCATAATAAATGCTTCAGAAATAATTGCTGGTTTTCAGAGAATGGACTTTCCAGGCTGCACAGGGCCATTGATGGGACTCATATGCCTGTAGTTTGCCCACCAAAAGGAGTACATAGGCCACAAAGGATACCACTCTACTGTTATGCAGGTCCTGGTTGACCACAAAGGCAGATTCATGGACACTAACATGGGATGCACTGGCAGGGTACATGATGCCAAAGTGTTTTGGAGATCAGGACTTTACCTTCATAGAGAGGCTGGGACATTATTCCCATCAAATGACATTGTTATAAATGGAGTCACTGTCCCCACTGTTTAGGGTGACCAGATAGCAAGTATGAAAAATTGGGACAGGGGGTGGGGGGTAATAGGCACCTATATAAGACAAAGCCCCAAATATCGGGACTGTCCCTATAAAATCAGGACATCTGGTCATCCTACCACTGTTATTTTATAGGTTCCCACTTTTCCCCTGTTGCCATGGCTTATGAAACTGTACCCTGATTTCAGAGGACTTGCCAAAAGAAGGTTCAACTACACACTCAGTAGCTGTAGGACGGTGGTAGAATGTGTATTTGACAGATTGAAATCCCACTGGCACTACTTTCAAAACTATTTGGATGCCAGTGTCATTAACACAGTCTGCATTATTGGGGCTTGCTTTGCTCTGCACAATGCCTGCAAGGAGAAGGGGGAACCTTTTCACCAGGCGTGGACTCAGAACCCTGCTGGATATTTGAACTGGTACACAGAGCCAGACAACACACCTGTCCAGACTGGTGCTAGATCCAGACACGCAAATCAGGTATTCTTTGGGAGCTCACATAATGAATTTGCACAATCTCATGCATGAGGAGGAATGAAATGGCATATGAGGTTATTCTGTGTGAGAGATTTTTGTAAATGTGTAGGTATTGTGCACCATGAAATCTGTAAACACTTTCATGAAATGTATGGGGATGTGTTACGTATTTTATCCATACTGGCAATGTACTGCCATTTACAGTTTCTGGAATACTGTGATGACAGTTGGTAAATTTTTATTCTGAAAGGTTGACATTCGGCATGGGATGACCTTCATTAAAGTTGGTGCCACTTTGATGATTATATATAATAAAATTTGTTATTGTATTCTTATGTGCAAATCCAACATTTTATTTTACAGAGGTAATTATATACTGTAATAACCAATAATGCAGACCAGCTGCCATCATGGCATGCAGTGCAATAATATAAACTAACTTGGTCAGAAAAAAAAACAGGCAAAGGTCCATATTGTCCTCGGCCTTGCTGGCAAGTTTTGCACATACAGGCCATACCTGGACCGGAGTGAATTAACACACAGGGTACATTTGTCCATTCCATGTACTAGTGTTTGCCTGTGATATGCTCCAGCCACCCCCTGAGTTGTCCAAAGAATGGATGCTCTGCAGGACTTGATAGTGATAAGGGGACTGATGCCCTGGTTCAGGAGCAGTAGATGAAGGTTGCATTGGAGCCTGCAGTCCGGTACCCATCAGCTCCAGTAATCGCTCAAACGGCTACTTCTGCTATGCTGTTTTCCTTCCTCAACCTGGTGGTCATGCTCCATGAATCTGTCTGCCAGTTTCTCCTCACACTGTTCAGCCTCTGTCTTTTTTTCCACCCAGTGGTCATCCTTATCCTTTTGGTAGCTGAGCTGGGCCTTCTGGACCTGGATCTACCAATTTGTTTTGTCAAGCAGGTGTCCCTTCAGCTCATCTGAGACTCTCTTTTTTCTTCCTCTGCAGTAGGGTGGTTTGCACATCCGGGCTCCTAGTGCCTTGTGCTTGCCCTGTGGCGATGGAAGGACCTCAAAAGGAGGGAGACAGAGAACATTATTGAGCATGGTGTAAAATACATTTTACAGTTTATGAAAGGGGTGCCATTAACCCAAGTCAAAAGATTATACTGTACTTTTTATCGGTGGGCTGTATTCTATTCTATTCTATCTATTCTATTCACACAAAAAACACCATCCACTTCAGACGTCTTTGGAGCAGCACTGAAAACCAGACATCATGGTAAGACACATACAGAACATTAAATTAAAATTATTCCTATACCCTCTTTTTGCGGGGAGGGAAGATTATTGGAAGTGTGGAACTTACGAGTGGTCTAGTTACAAGCTATGATCGTTCGTTCATGTCAGGCAGGCAAGCTCTGGAGAACATTGATATTCTGCAGGTCCCCAAGTGGAACCGTGAACTTCTGGTCCAGGCCAGCAGAGGACAGCCATCCGTGTATGCTAAGGAGCTATTTTGGTGACTGGAATGGATGGGGCTCATGAGCTACAAAGGCAGCCCAAATAAGTATGCGCTGTCCCGGAACATAACAGACTGTCTGGAGTTCCTGCTCTGTGAGAAGTTTGCTTTCATCACCTGCCAGCAGTGGGTGAAAATTCATGGTGACATCTACAAGATGCTGAATTAGCATGGAGACACAGTACAGCCTCCTTGCATGTACCCTGTGTCCATGCAAACACCTGACTCACTGCCACCATTGGGACTCTTAACGCAGATAGACTGACACCCACTGCTGCAGTTTGGACTCATACATTAAAGCCAACAGTGGACCAAATACACACTCTGGTTTTGTTTGGACTCATAACAGCCAGGTTTTTGGGGACTCAGTTCACAGGCAGTCAGGAACAGTGCCTGCATAGCTAATTTGTAAGGTGTGATGTTTTACATGGGAGGGCTATGTGAGGTTATGAATTGTGGCACACCAACCCATACATATACCAATCAGTGAGTAACTAGTAAAAATGTCATGATAACTATTTTACTTTTTTCCCTTTTTCACTGTGTCCATTTTGAATCCCATTTGGTGGCAGGCTGAAACGCAGGGAGGAACTGGGGGAATGGCGTGGGTTCTGCCCTGAAAGGAAGCACACACAAATCTAGGGTTGTATATTAATAACTTAATAGGTCCATAAAATGGAAATCCTTCCCATTCATATAGTAATAAATACAAACATGGCAGCAGAAATTTACCAGGCTCCAGCTCCTGCGCTTGTTCTGATGACGGTTCTGCAGCAGGCTGCTCCCAAGGGCCATCCCCAAATAGTTCCTCCAAGTATGAACCCAGAATGTGCTGTCGCTCCTCTGGCAACACAGCCTCTTCAGTCACCAGCCTCAGTTCCAGTATCACTTCTTGCCCTTTATCAGTGGCTGGCTCTCCTCCAGCTGTGCCTGTGATGCGGGTGGGCATTTATAAGGTTGCTATTGCGGCTCAGCAGAGTTTCATGCACCATGGAGGTACAGTGCTCAGTGCAGTTCCCAGCTGAATTCCTTGTAAAAGAGGCAGGAAGATGGGGAGTTCCCAAAGGTGCTGTTAGCGTCCTTGACTTTGCTGTAGTCTGTCTTCAGCCACTTGAACCACTCTCTGCACTGATCTGCTGTCCAGTCAATCCCCAATGCCACCAGCTGATCAGATATAGTTTTGCAGACATGATCATTTTTTGTGCTCTGGCTGAAGTCAGATGTCTCACACCAGAAGTAAACCAGAATCTGGCTGTGCTCCTCTTGACAGCTAGCAACGTGCCTGATGCAGGACTTCATCCTACTGCTGGCCATAGCTAATACACGTTAGCATTGATTGTATTGTTTCCAATTAAATAGTCCACCTGGAAATGAAGGGTTAAATCCCAAGCAGCCGCTTTTGAATGAGGAGGTTGCTTCTGGTTCCTGGGAAGCGAGTGGCAAGTTTTGGAATTGAAGGGCTGGGAAGCAAAGCACCAGGTGAATGTGGGACAGCGTTGGTGGACTCTCCAGATGTGAGACTGGTGATGCAGGCTTGAGCTGCATCCACACTGCAAAATGCCTGCGCTCTGACCTACATCACAGGATTTGGCTCTGACCCACCCCCCCTTGGAGGGTATGTGGGCCTGAGTCAAGAGTGGTTCCTGGCCCGAGTCAGACTAATTTCTGTGTGGACAAAAAGGGGGCTTGAGTTTGAACCTGAGTCTAAGCCGAGGCTTAGCGTGCTATGTAGACATACACTAGGTGTTCAGGCCAAATCCTATCTCAGGTTCTGAATATCCCCTTCAATTCCAGGGACCCTGAGTGGCTGCAAGCCCATAGTATTCTCCTCCCCTTTCTGGCACCCTACAAGAACTCTACAGTATCAGGCTTCGCAGGGGATTTATGGGTGAGGCCAGGATGGGAGGGGGATGTGCTCTCATAGCATTCTCCTCCATTAACGTAGTATGACTAAGTGGTGTAATATATATTTGAAAAGATTTTAAATTTAATAATATAATTGGCATTTTTGTTTAATAAACTCAATAGAAATAGAGTAAAATTAAAAAAATTAATAAATATAATCTGAAAAGGTCCATTCAGAAAACCTTATTGTAGAAAAGTAATCACACTCTTGATTTTCTATTTCCATTATAGAAACAAGCTATGTTTCTTATTACAGTCAAAAGGGGAGGGACACAATATAGCAACATCTCACTGATCCATGGCCCCATAATTTATCACAAAAAGCTCTCCCTAGTTCTCAACAAAGATTTAATAGCACACGCCGTAGAAAGGATCCACATATCAACATTAAGTCTACAAAATAAATATACTACATCAATATACTACATATTTACTAGTACAGTGTGTGCTTCAAAATATTACCATAAACATTTACAATACAACATATAAACATAGTTCAAGCCAGTAGCAAAACTTGCATTGAGATCAATGGGAACAGGCTCTAATTTGTCATTCTTCTGCAATGGGTCTTCCATTCATTTATTCAAACTAGTGAGGTTCTGTTCTATACTAATATAAAAGGATACCCAGTCAATGGCCATCTTGCTAAAAATTAAATGACTTGTGGAATTAGTAAAGAAAGAGAATGTAAACTGATTGTCACCTTGTTTTATTAAAGGCTTAACAGTCATAACAATTATTATTTAATTAATATTTAATTTTCAGATATATTTCTGGCTTTTTAAACCATTATTCAAGAGATCTGGAAACTTGTTTAAACTCACTGTCGCCTATTAATGATAGGATTTTTTTTTTATTTACTTGCCAAGGAACAACCTGAATTTCAACTTTGAATGAGCAACAAGAAAATATGTTGGTCCCAAAACTTAAATTGTAGCCAGGGTTTATGCTGAGCTTGAAGACAGGGAGTGGTGGCTGCTGCAACTAAACATATGAAAAGCCAATCTGATGCAGGGGCATTTTTTTCCTCTCAAGGACAAGCTACTGATCTCTAGTGCATGACTGTTGGACGTGTCCAACCTTACGCTGAAAATGAAAACTGGGTTCTAGCAGTCCTTGTACATGTCACAGCTACATCCCATACCACATTTCAGGGAGAGCACAACATACAGAATTAGCCATGTCTCTGTGATGTGCAGTTTGCGGCACATCTGGCTGAGATGCAGCTGTGGAAAGTATTTAGCAAAGCTGAAGTGTGGGCAGACAAATCATCTGTTCCTTCTGTCATTCAAAGATGCTTCCCAGAGGGAGATCAGTATTTGTCTTCACCCTGAGACTGGACGACTTGGTCAGTCATTGCATCCAAGAGTTTTAAGTACCAGTCAGCCAGTGCTTAATTTGTACTGAAAGAGGTGCTGAGCCTCAAGCAATGATTTACTTTCATAACTGATGCGGCAAGTCCAGAGGTGCCGGGCTCAGCCCTGGCAATACTTGGCACAAATTAAGCACTGCAGTCAGCAGTCTGTTTGGTGGGCAGCATGCAACTAAACTTGTCTGGACTGGGGTTTGGATGTTTAAGGCTACTAGATAATATGATATTTTCTAGCCTGCTTCAGACGGATTTCCACACTGCCATTGTCACGTAGTTTATGACTTTTCAACAAGAGGGCCACCTCCAGAATTAGAATTTTACAAATATCATTATTTACTGTTTGTTCGACAATAGTGCTTAGAGGACCCGGTCAAGATCAGGGCCTCTATTGTGCTATTATCAGTTTATTCAAATGACAAATATTTTATACCTTGTGCACTGTTAGGTTGTTGAACTGAGTCAAATGAGTGCTAGTACCTGGAGTTATTTAAATTTCTTATTTTGTCTTTCTGTTGAATTTCTGGTTGTCTTGAAATATTACAATTGACATATCTGTGCTCCTTCTTTAAGAAATATATTTGAGATTTCAGAACTAAATAGACCAAAGCCTGTAAAAGGTCTCACACATTTAATAAATATTTTAATATATATAAAACCTTTCCTCTTTTGACTTTCTAAAGGGCTGCAAAATAGCATTAATTAAAAGGTTTTCTGAATACTTGTCCTGAAACTGAAAGCTTTATTACCGAATGGTATTTTCATATGGCAATTGTATCACAGGTGAACCCTCTCTCAGCTTTTTCACAATTTTTTTCTACATCCATTATAATTAAGGCTGCGAGCTTGTCATGTAGGTCATGGAAGTCACGGATTCCATGACTTTCCGGGACCTCCACAACTTCTGCAGTGACTGGTGCGCCTGGCCTCTGGGCAGCTCAGGCAGCCCCTGCACCAGTTGCACTGGCCGCTGCTGGGGCAGTCTCGGGTCACCACCCCTCCGCCCCCAGCAGCAGCAGAGTTTGGGTGTGAAAGGAGGCAGGGGATTGGGGCATGAGAGGGGGTGAGGCGGGCTCTGGGCGGTGCTTACCTAGGGGGCTCCCTGGAAGCAGTGACATCCCCCTCGCTCAGCTCCTAGGTGGAGGCGTGGCCAGGCAGCTCTGCGCACAGCCTCCGCCTGCGGGCACTGCCCCCGCAGCTCCTATTGGCCATGGTTCCTGGCCAATGGGAGCTGCAAAGCCGGCACTCTGGGCGGAGGCAGTGCACAGACCTGCCTGGCCACACCTTCACCTAGGAGCTGAGCAAGGGGCATGTCGCCACTTCCAGAGAGGCACGGAGCCAGGTAGGGAGCCTGCCAGCCCCGCCAATCCCCCCTGGGTCTCGGACTGCATGCCACTGCCTGTGCCCCCCCAGCACCAGCGGGGGTCCTGGGCCGCCGGGCCACCCCCTCAAGCACCCGCGGCGCCCCCAGATCGCCCCCCTCCCCACAAGATTTAGTCAGGGGTATATAGTAGAAATCATGGACAGGTCACAGGCCGTGAATTTTTGTTTACTGCCCGTGATCTGTCCATGACTTTTACTAAAAATACCCATGACTAAAACGTAGCCTTAATCATAATGGGACAACCACATGACCATCTTCAGTCATGTTTTGAATGAGCTCTCCCCTGACATCTAGTGATGCGCTGTGGAAGAGGACTTTAGGAGCTGATCTTGTTTGCAAGGGCACACCCACCATGATGGGATTGCTTGCCCAAATGATCACTTTTGGCTGATGTTGGATCCCCAGTCTCCTTGTTATTGGGGCAGGAGTAATAAAGCGTTGTTATCCTTGTTGTGTGACTCAAGGGCAGCAGAAATGTACTTGGCATACCCCAATTGAGGACTCACCCTCAACGAAATGGCACTCGCTAGGCAGGGTTACTTCTGGGTTCCAAAGCCTGGTGAATAGAGAGAGAGGGTGGGTCCTGCTTAAGGATCTTAGATACCATTTGACCCTTCCTCTCTCCACTATGTAATAAAAGAGCTAATTTAGATTCAATTGAGAGTCATTACACACTGCAGAACTCTGAAATCACTGATACCTAGGTCTAAGTGTTAGACCTGCTTTGAACAGTGTCTCTTATGCAAGAGACTGTCTGGTGTGCACCAGCAGTGAGGCTCCCCCACTAACAGCTGTGATCACTGAGAGCTGTGTTAAGTGGTGGGACCTGAAGACATCCTGACGGATCGACGATCGGCTGGCAAGGCAGCCAGTGGAGAGGACTGGAATGGAACCCTGCAGAGAGGCATTGCAATCGGCCAGCAGGATGACTGGCGGAGAGAAGCGGAGCGGAGCAGAGCCCAGCAGAGCGGCTGGCGGAGAGGTGAGGCGATCGGTCAGCAGGGTGGGTGGCGAAGAGGATCAGAGCAAAGCCCGGCAGAGAGGCATGGTGATCAGCCAGCAGGGTGGCTGGTGCAGAGGTGCGAAGTGCCAATCAGCTGGCATGGTGGCCAGCGAAGAGGAACAGCGAGCAAGTGCCCGGGCAGCAGAGCGAGTTAGATAACTTCTTATCTCCCCCTCCACCCAGGGTGAGAGGTGAGCTCTGCAGATGCGCTTCTAAACTCTGCGTCTGCGCTGACCCAGGACAACAACTGTGAGTGGGGTGCAGAGAAGGGACAGGCACGTTAAAGGGACTTTTGGTTGCTGGACTTAAGAATATGAGGGAAAAGGACACTGCCCAACTTACTTGAGGGTGGGTCTTTTGCTCATGGTTTATGATTATGAATAAGGCTAAGCTTTGTCACGGATATTTTTGTCACGGGCAATAAACAAAAATTCATGGAAGCCCCTGACCTGTCCCTGACTTTCACTAAAACTATCCCTGATAAAAGGGGTAGACGGGTTCAGCACCCACTGCTGCTGGGGCTCCCAGGTCCCCCACCGCTGTGGTACATGGGAGCTCTGAGGTCCCCCTGCCCATGGGGCTGGGCTGCTGTGGGGTCCCCTCGCCACCAGGGCAGCTGGGAGCTGCAGGGTCCCCCAGCTACTGGCCACGGCTGGGCAGCTGCGGAGTTTGCTGGCTGCCCAACGCGGCTGGACAGTTGCAGGATCCCCCAGGGAGTCCCCGCTGCCTGCCGCGGCTGGGCAGCTGCAGGGTCTTGCCGCAGCTGGGCAGCTGCCTGGAGTCCCCCGCCCCCTGCCGTGGCTGGGCAGCTGCTGGGAGTCCCCTGCCCCCTGCCATGGCTGGGCAGCTGCCGGGAGTCCCCAGCCACAGCTGGACAGCTGCAGGGAGTCCCCTGCCCTCTGCTGTGGCCTAGCAGCTGCAGAGTCCGCCAGCCCCCTGTCACTTGTCGTGGCTGGGCAGCTGCAGGGTCCCTCCACCAGGGCGGGGGCTGGGAGCTGCGGGGGCAGGGCTGGCTGGGAGCTCCAGCCCCAGGGCAGAAAATGTCATGGAGGGCAGTGGAAGTCACGGATTCCGTGCCCTCCATGACATAATCGTAGCCTTAATGATGAACCCTGTTTGCAGTGTTTTCCCAAATTAATGCCAAGTTACTTCCCTCCTTTTATTAAAAGTTTCTTTGCTATACTCAGACTCTGTGCTTGCAAGGGGGGAAGTATTGCCTCTTAGAGGCACCCAGGGGTTGGTGTGTAATTGTCCCAGGTCACTGGGTGGGGGCTCGAGCCAGGTTTTGTATTGTTGAAAAGGAACCTCTAGATACTGAACCCAGCCCTTGTTGCTGCCGACTCTGACTGGCAGAAGGGTTACAGTCACAATAATCACACCTGTAATTTTCTATTCACAATCAGTCAGGATGCAGCCAGGTGTGAGAAAGGTTAGGCTCAGCACACTCTTAGTCTAATCATTCTCCAGACTGGTCTCGGAGCAACAGACAACAGTGCAAGGAAACAAACCAACTATTATTAATTATCTGGCTTCAGTAAACAGGCTGTTAAAATGCAGAAAGTAATTGGCTTGTGTTAAAATACCTTTCGGCAGAACCATCTTAACTTTGTGTTTTGGTTTTTAGAACTTTTAAAATATATATTACAACACAATTTCAGAGGTAGCAAAAAGACAAAGATGTCAAATAGAACAGCCCAGGACAGAAAGTTTTCTGATCTTTTGAACTGAGGACTCAGGGAATATTTATTCTGAACTGTGTAGCAATGGATTTCTTCAAGTTTGTAGGGTATGAATGATTTATTAATATAAAGGTCTCCATTAGGGTTCCAGCACCAGTGCTTCATTGCTGGGAATAATATATGAGGGAGAAATTAAGTTTTTAACCTTTTCTTCAGGGAAACACTACTTCTCAGAATTATTTGAGTCCAGCAATGGTGACGAAGAAGAGATGTTAGTATGTGAAGAAGATTTAGAGCATAATCCTTTTGATGGCTTACCATACTCATCTCATTATTACAAACTTTTGAAAGAAAGAGAGGAACTTCCATTTTGGAAAGTGAATATGCTTCCATGGAGAGTCTTTGTAATCAAATTGTGATTGTTTCAGGAGATGCTAAGAGTGGCAAAAGTTCCCGAGGGGGTACTACAGAATACTTACCATGTGCTATTTACTTAATATTTAATATTGAGTTCATATATTTTCCAATAACAGATTTCCTTAACTGCTTTCCTAATAACATTGTTAATTATTAAAACTGAAATAATTTTTAAAATTTAATTTATGGTTCACTATTTTTGCTGCTCTGCTTATTTATTATTAAATTTATATTATGCTGGTGTCTAGAGGCAACAGTCAATATCAAGGCCCCATTGTGCTATGTACTGTAGTGTATTGTAATATGAAGACACTGTCCTTGTCCTAAAGAGTTTATTACAACACAAGGGTAGATTCTGTGCCCACAAAGTCCTATTGACTTCAGTGGGGCTTTGTGTGGGCACAGGGATCTGCCCACACATTGTAACTTGAAGGATTGGAGCCTAAGAAGGTAAGTGAAATATGAAAGGTGGAGGGAGAGCAATATCAAATATATACACTATTTATATTCAAATGTATAATTCCACTATTTTTCCTGATAATTATAAATAGGTAAAGTAAGTGGCATCTATTTCCAGCTGCCTGCCAAGCCATTATTAATTGGCTGAGTTCTTGTAGGTTTTGGGGAAAGGCAAGTATTGGGTTTTAACCACTGAATTTCTTGTAATATGCAATAAATAGTCAACAAAGGCCTCAAGCTAAAATTTAAAAAGTACTCTTTAGAAATGTCAGACTCTTATTTATACACTAAACACCACCTGCACACTTATCAGATCCTAATAATTCTGCACCAAATAGTCACATACGTATATGTAGAAAAACTCTGTACCAACTACATGTGGACCTATCAGTATATAACAACATTGCACCATATACTTTTGTTTTACCTATATATAACAATATCACATGTAAAACCTGAATACCTTTTTAGTTTACCTGTACATTTTCAGGTTTGTTAAAAAAGATAAGGGGTGAAATCCTGGACCTACTGAAGTCACAGAGAGCTTTTCCATTGACTTCAAAGGGACCAGGATTTAATCCAAACATTTTAGAAGGTAGAATGAATTCAGAAAGCTTTAGTGTAAGATGGAGTAGGTTAAATTGTTATTAGTTGAGTGTTATTATCTTGCATTTGTCTACATTTAATTTAATCTGCCATTTTTTTGCTCAATTGCCTAATTTTGTCAACTCCTCCCTAGAAACTACTAAAACTACACATTTTTTCCTTTAGTCAAAAAAATGTTGCCATCATGCAGTTCACCCTTATTTCAGATTGTAAATAAATATTTTGAATAATAGTCTTGTCTATACTATTCCCTGGGGCATCTGACTTAACTTCTTTCCATGTTGAGGCCTGCACATTTATCTGTGCACTGTTTACTGTATTTCAACCATTTTAATCCATGACAGAATTTTTGAAAGTTTATGTAAATTACACCACTCATTTTGCATTATCTATTATTTTAAACTATCTTTCAAAGTAAAATTAAATGGCAGATTTAACTCTTATTAAACTTTCAGTGAATTCCAAATGGTCAAGAAAGGGTTTGACTCATGGTATGGGTTAATTCCTTGTTGAGAGAGAAATGAGTGACTTGGACACAGGATACTCTATTCCTGTTTTAGTTTATTGACAACCATATACCATCTTGGGGCATGTCTACATGAAAACTTACAATGCACACTAGGGAACTTTTAGTGCACATCAGTAGGGTCCACAGACAGTTAGCAGGTGGCATGCTGGAATGCTGTAGATTTAGACCCCATCTTGCTGCATAGTAAATGTTCATGTAGCCATGCCTTTGGATAGGAAAATTAGGCCTTTCTACACAAGAAGATTATACTGATATAACTGAACCCGTTTAGAAATTGATTTCGTTAAATGAGTACAGCACCTTTATGGACAATCTCATTTTGGTTTATGAGTGTCTTGTATGCATATTACATTAAAAAATGTTAAAAGAACATTAAGATTGCAAAATCATGTACTCAAAGGTTAGGAAATCAAGAATTAAGATTGCTTTAATTCAGCCCGTTTGTGCATATGCATTATGATGCAGTCTTTAATTACATCATTAAATTTTATTTTTTTTCCACAAGACCCTGCCTCATTCAAAGCACAGGATGGATGTTGTTCCCTAATTAGCAACTATTCAATATTTTGTTTTATCCTAATTGTTCAGTGAGTCTTATTTACTGCACAAATTCAAACCTGCTCTGAAGACAGAATCAAATAATTTCCTCTGTGGCAGGGGTTCTTAACCTTTTTCTTTCTGAGCCTCTTCCCCCCAACATACTATAAAAGCTCCATGGCCCAGCTGTGCCACAACAACTGTTTTTCTGTATATAAAAGCCAGGGCCAGCGTTAGGGGGTGGCAAGTAGGGCAATTGCCTGGGGCACCATGCCACAGGGTGTACCATGAAGCTAAATTGCTCAGGCTTCAGCTTCAGCCCCGGGTGGTGGAGCTCAGGGCCCTGTGTTGCAGTCCCGTGTGGCGGGGCTTCGGCTTTCTGCACTGGGCCCTACCAAGTCTAATGTCAGCCATGCTTGGCGGCCCCCCTGAGTCCTGCTCGCAGCCCCCCAAGGGGCCCCAGACTCCTTGTTGAGAACTGCTGCTCTGTGGCACTCATATCTTTAGTATATGAGTGCTTCATAAACATTAAATAATTAATCTTCCCAATAACCCTATGAGATGAGGGGGTGGTATAATACCCATTTTATGGAACTAAGGTCAAAGATTACCGTCAAAAGTTTCCACTAATTTTGGATGCCCAATTTGAGACGACTAGGACCTGATTCTTCCAAGTACTTGGCATTATAAAGCCCTTTGTATGTTCAAAGCACAGCTCCCATTGACTTCTGTTGCAGCTGTAAGTGCTCAGCACTTCTGCAAATCAGACCACATGGCATCAAGTCAGGCAAACAGTGACCTGTGATCTGTTTGGTAGAAGTGACTTGACTAGTATCCCATAGGAAGTTGCATGGTAGAGACAGGGATAGAATCCAGTTCTCCAAGGCAGCATACAACTGCCTAACCGTGAAGCCATCCTTTTTCTTCCTGCAGTGCCCTACTTCATTCACTGCACGCCTTCCAACTTCTGCAACAAACGAAGCAGGAGTCCTACACACACAATCTCTTTCATATGCAATCCTTATTCAGTCCCAGAGCAGGTCCCGTGTACTGAATGAGTCAGAGACCCTGTGGAAAAAATAGCATGTGATCGTGAAATTAAAGAATATATCATAATGCATGCACACAAGGGGGCCTAATTAAGATTTCAATCTTATTTCTGGCATTTTCTAACCTTTTGTTGCTTGACTTTGAAAACTTAATAATGTTTTTTTTAAAGTTTCTAGGTTTTTAAAAATGCAAACTAAAAAAAAAACAGAAATCCCATCATGTGGCACCATATTGACACAGATATGGATTGGAACTTTTAGATCCACCACACAGACCCTTGCTACTTGATCTAACAGACTAACCAATAGCAATAGTAAATTATCATTCCTTATGTGGACCATCACTAGAGGAGAATGGGACACGCATTTTGCCAGTATGTTTCACGGATGTTTGCTGACAACAGAGGAATGGTGAGACTCAGGAATCTTGAGTTCCATTCCAGGCACTGGAGGGAAGTGTGCCTTAGTGGGAAGAGAATTTTCTGGTCATTTCCTCCACGCTTGAGCTTTTCTGCCCTATCCCTTCTAACATGGACCTGTTCCAGTCCAGGCTTCTGCTTCCAGTCCCACTCTTTTTACCTTCCCAGTCCCAGTCTCCACTCCTCAGGCTTCTCATGATTTTTAAGCCCAGGGGAACTTAAATTTATAACTTTGCTAGACACTAAAAATCATGGACTCAACAGAGACACTGGCTTTATGTCTCTTACAACAATAACCCACTAGCCCTCCTTTGTCCTGTGACTCCAGAGGTGTTAATTGCCAACTTCATCTTGAATGGTCTCTCGCAATGTATGTTAATGCCTTATTCTTAAGAATCTGTTCCACCTTGTACTTAGCTGTAACACTCTGGTTACCTTTCCCAGGGCAGGTCTACACTAGAAACTTGCATTGATGCAGCTGCATCGCTATAGCGCTTCTGGTGAAGACACTCTAAATCGATGGGAGAGCGCTTTCCTGTCTGCTTAATAATTCCACCTCTGCAAGAGGCAGTAGCTATGTTGATGGGAGAAGCTCTCCCACTGACATAGCACTGTCTACACAGAGAGTTGAGGTTGGTATAGCTAAATCACTCAGGGGTGTGGATTTTTATTGATGTAAGTGTGTAGTGTAGACCTGTCCCCCAGACCTGAAGAGCTCTGTGTAGTTCAAAAGCTTGTGTCTTTCATCAACAGAAGTTGGTCCAATAAAAGATATTACCTCACCCATCTTGTCTCTTTCATAACCATTCTAGTAGCAGTCTCATCTTCCAAGTGTATATTTCTAAAAAATTAATTATTTCAAATCTTTAGCACTTTTGTTACAATATAACATTTTACTCACCCATGATGCAGATCCCATCATACAAAGCTTCATTTTTTGTAGTGCAGGTGTAATACATTCTAAGAAAAATATAAGTAGACTTAAAACCTTAACATGAAACTTAAAGCCTAAAATGAAACAGTAGTACTGGTTGGAATATTTTTATTATAGTTTTTTTTTTCAACAAAAATTTGAGTTTTATCAAAAATGAAGTTTTTCACCTGAAGGTTGTTTGACAACATTTTTTGTTTAAAACATTGAATTTCATTTTTCTTAATTGTAGGGTTTTTTATTTTGAAATATTGGGAAAATTCCCACATTCTCTGTCTCCCTGGCTGTCCCCTTTTCTTTTCCCCTGGAAATTTTTGTAAAAAAGTCAGAAAGTGGGTTAAAAACACCATTACTTTTAACTTTTTTGTACTGGAAGAGTGTGGGAAAAGTGAGAGAAAGTAGCACTTCTCCACTTTTACTCCCCCCCCCCCCTTTATCCACTGAAAAAGCACTCCCTCCTCAGCCACCCTATTTTTTCTAATATTTTAATGTTTTTTCACTAGAGA